TTTGCTTTTTCTGCCAACTTCACAGATTCCGCCACGACCAGGAGGCAGATTAACGAGTACGTGAGAAAGCAGACGTACGGGCAGGTGGCGGACTGCCTGCAGGAGTTCACGCGAGACACGCTCATGGTTGTCCTGAATTACATCTTCTTCAAAGGTGAGGGCTGGCTCGGGCCGAATCCCTTCTGCCTCCTTGCCCCTGAAAGGCACCTGTCTTGAAGTCTTGCAGCGGCTCCAAATATTTAAAGCGTCTTAGATGACTACTTCTTGACTTATCGACATTTGTTCGCTCTTGCCATTTCCTTCTGTTCAGTTTTTACTTATTTTTTGTTATACACCCTATCATACTCTCCTAGGAATAACTCCTTTTTTAGAAAAATTTTAGTTTTTATATGACTGTCTATCTTGAGCATAGACAAATTTTTTTAATGTTTATTTCTGAGAGAGAGCGAGAGATAGAGTGCGAGGTGGGGGGGGGGGGGGAGCAGAGAGAGAGGGAGACACAGAATGCGAAGCAGGCGTCAGGCTCTGAGCTGTCAGCACAGAGCCTGATGCTGGGCTCGAACCCACAGACCATGAGATCATGACCTGAGCCGAAGTCAGATGCTTAACCAACTGAGCCACCCAGGGGCCCTACATTTCTTTTGTTAAATTTATTTCTAAATATTTTATTCTTTTGATGCTGTTTTTTATTTTTGAAATATTCATTGCAAATGTTTGGAAATACAGTTGACTTTTGTAGGCCCTGATGAATCTGGCACTCTCTGTATCCTGAGGACCACACAACCCTTGTTCAGATAGTGACATACTATCTGATTGAATTTTGGATCTTGTATGGCTCTCTCAGTGGCCACAGTTTCTCTGGTCATTCTATGGACACTTCCTTCTGTGGTCAGATTAAGCTCTCGGTGGCTGAAGGCGCAGATAGATCTCAGTTCCTATCCTGACCAATCTCTTTTTCATCACCAAGTTTCATCTCCACTCGCATACACATCATCTTCTTCTTCTTTATGGAACACTTGCTGTGGCCCACGCACTGTTCTAGGAGGAGGGACACAGTGGCCCACAGACCCACCCCTGCCCTTACGAGACGTCCGTTCTAATGGGGGGAGACGGGTCAAACTGTAAGTCAGTGTAGGGCATCCACAGCCTCTCAGGAGGAAATAGCGCAGGAGAAGGGAACGGGACGGCTGGGGTGAGGGGACTGGCGATTTCGGGTGGAGGACCTCACCGAGGAGGTCACGAATGACGAATGGTGAATGACGGCATGGGTGGAGCGCGGGGCCGCCACGCAGCGGGTAGAGCGCTCCAGGCCGAGGGAGCGGTCAGCGCCCAGACGGAGGCCTGCGTGTGCCCGGAGCGCTCCCGGAGCAGAAAGGAGCCCCAGGGGCAGAAGCAGAGTGTGCAAGGGGGAGACGGGGAGAACTGAGGTCCGAGAGGTGACGGGCCAGATCACGGAGGGCCCCGCATGATCTAGCACTAAAAACAAGACGGTGAGCTGATGGGCACTTTAACTGGTACACACTGGCAGACGTTGGAGGGCGAAAGCTGGCATCAGGAGACCAGCCGGGGAGGTTCCTGTGTCTGGCCGGGCACCATTGGTATGGACCAGGGCGAGGCCGTGCAGGGGTGCGCGTGCACGACTCAGGGCCCACGAGCAGGTGCGGCAAGCAGGCCGGAGGCGGGGTGTGCCTGATGACGAGTGTTGGGGCTGACTGCACCGTCTGGGGTCCAGCCTGAGGAGCCAGCGGGGCATGGAGCCGGTCCCCGGTGCCCACCACACATGGGCTCGCCGAGGACGAGCAGACTCGGGGAGCCCGAGGCGCCCCCGGGAAGGCAGATGGGGCGGGGCCGGCAGCGCCTGGAGGAAACCAGGTCACCGGGAGCCTGATGCCAAACCAAGACGGGGTTTCACGGAGGAGGAGCGCTCCGCTGTGTGAGCACCACCCACGAGGAAGGTGGGGCCTGAAAACCGGCGGCGGGTTCTGCAGTGTGGGGCCGCCGCCGCCCTCAGTGAGTGTCCGGGTGGAAGGAGGGAGAAAGCCTGGCCGGAGAGGGTGTGGGAGGAAGAGGAGAAAATGGAGGGAGATGACGAGTGGGGACGTCTTAGGGGGACACGGAGGAGAGACGTGGGGGCCGGCCACGTGGGAACCTGATCCCCAGGTCTTGGGGGGGGGGGCCTGGTTGCGCTGGGGGGTCACCACTGGACGCTCCTGCGGTTCCCGACTGTGCGGCTCCTCTCCCACATCATCCGGACCCTCAGAGGAGACAGCCCAGCAGGACAGACGGCCCGGGTCCCACCTGCATCCCTGCTTCCTCCTGCCGTCCTCATCCTCGGCTCCTTGAGGCCCTCCCCTAACCTGCGACCCGCTGCCCTTCCCTTTCGGGCTCTTCCTCCCCACGGCTCCTTCTCTTTGGCCCACACTTTCATTGTCTCTTCGATCCTAAAGCAAAAATCTCCAAAAAGCCAAAACCAGAAATCATAAAAGAACCAACCGACTGGTTGACTTGAGGGTGCAATTTTAATGTATTCATTTGGAAACACAAGTAACAAAACTTGAAACAAAAGTAAAGTGACCGGACCTTTTGCCACACGGTCCCTGGGCAGACGTCTGAGCCACAGCCCAGGGACTTCCGGGGGAATGCCACAATGTTTCTGAGGGGTCTTAAAGAAGGTAGATTTAGCAGTGTGGATTAAGGACCTCTAGGATGTCTACTTTCAGGGAGAAGAATCCGTAAGAAGGACTTTTGTAGTATAACCTCAGCATCACTCACCGTCAGGGAGATGCCCAAACCACAAGGAGCCAGCACCTCACAGTCAGAACGAAATCAACGACACCAGAAGCCACAGGCGTGGGCGAGGATGTGGAGGAAGCGGAATCCTTTCGCCCTGCTGGTGGGAATGCAAACTGGTGCAGCCGCTCTGGAGATCAGCATGGGGGGGGGTCCTCAAAACATTGAAAACAGAGCTACTCTTCAACCCAGCAATTGCACTACTAGGTATTTACCCAAAGGACACAAAAATACAGATTCGATGCCCCAGTGTTTGTGGCAGCACTTTCAACAATAGCCAAGTTATGGAAAGAGCCCAAGTGTCCGTCGACTGATGAATGGATGAAGAAGACGTGTGTATACACACGACGGACTATTACGCAGCCAAGAACAGAATGAAATCTTGCCATTTGCAATAACATGGACGAAGCTAGAGGGTATTGTTCTAAGCAAGATAAGTCTGTCAGAGAAAGACAATGTGATTTCACTCACATGTGGAATTGAAGAAAAAAACCAAACGAGCAAATGGGGGGAAAGAAAGAAAGAGAGAGAGAGAGAGAGAGAGAGAGAGAGAGGCAAAGCGAGAAACAGACTCTGAACTCCAGAGAAGACACTGCAGGTCACCAGAGGGGAGGGGCGTGGGGGGCGCGCCCCCCCCCCCGCCCCCCCCCCCATGAAGGGGTGCACTTGTGATGTATGGAAGGGACGGTATTCTATGTTATTTTCCAAAATCTAATATTACACTGTTTGTTAAGTGACTGGAATTGAAATTGAAAACTTAATAAAAAAAAGATTTAGGTAGTAGAATTAGTTGTCATTGGGAAAATTGGTCAATTTGATGCCCATCGATCGCGGAGGCTCCACACGGTGGCAGGTGGGGGAGCTGGGAACCGCAGCGGCCACGGAGCAGCGTCCTCAGAGAAGGGTGCCGCTGGAAGGCCGCGTGGGGGCCCAGCCGGACGACAAGTGGACGGAAGGACACGGGCGACAGAGAAGGCCCAGGAGCAAAGATCGGAGTTTACAGTTTTAAGTGATTGAAGGAGAATCAGAGGAATACTATTTCTGGACATGCGGAAAGTACCCAAAACTCAAACATCAGCGTCTCTGAATAAAGTTTTATTGGTACAGACCCACCGTATTTGTTTCCGTGACATCTGGGGCCACGCTGGTACCACAGCCCCCAAGGTGATTGGTCACAAGAGAGACCGGATGCAAAACTGGCCGTATTCACCACCAGCCCTTAATAGACAAGGTCCGTCTACCCCTGATCTATAAACTCACGGAGAGAGTCTTCAAGGCAACGCGGAGCTTTTCATCACGCCGAACGGCAGGATGACAGGACTACGACGGTTTCTAATCTTTCTTTGGACTTTTCCGTAGCTCCATTCTTTCTCTGTAGTGAGCGAGCACATGACGCCTAACGACAACCGCCTAACTGGCAGTTTTCACACTGCGCCCTCCCCCAGCTTCCGTGCCCCCAGGGGTCTTCTCCCCCAAAACAGTGGTCATTCAAGGGCTCGCTCCTCAGGAACCCAAGGGAAATGGGCTGTCTGCCCCCCCACCCCCGCCCAGGGATCCAGGAGTATGAAGCAGCCGTGTCTGGGCCAGCCCGCCCTCTTGAACCTGCATTCGCTGTTCCCGGGGACACTGCGGGCAGGCACGGACGAGCCACCATCGGTGCCGCTGAGGCTCTGTGCCTGTCCCGGCTCTGGCCTCCCTGAGCGTCCCACACCTGGTGCAGCTCTGCTGTCCCCACAAGGACAGTGGTCAGGAGGCCCGGGCCCACTGCTCCCCACCAGGGAATGGATGGGTCCACTTGGCCACCTGGGGGACCACCGCCAGGAGACCCTCCTCAGTGAGGGGTCAGTAGCTCAGTGCAGTGGGCACATGGAGGGCTGGGCAGCTGTGGAAGGTCCCTGTGACTTGGTGGGGGGGGGGGCAGGTGTGCAGAGAAGTGAGCCCAGGGGGACAAGGCTGCCTCAGACGACGGAGAAGAAGCGGGCCAGACCCTCCAGTGGGATCTGCCGAGTCGCCCCACAGACCCCGTCAGCGGGGGCGGGTCATTGTCCGGCCACCCAAGAGACAGGTGCAGAGCTGGTCAGCTCGTCAGAGGCAGGCAAGCACCCGGGCCCTCCCCCCGCGGGCCCGCCGGGGTCTCAGTGCTTTCTCTGTGTCCCCCAGGTGTCTTCCTGCCCCCGTCCCCGGCAGCAGCACACGAGCCCGTCCTGGAAGAAGTGGGCGTTGTGGCTCTGGCACCCCTGGCCGACATGCTAAACAGCCCGCAGCCTAGCCCCACGGCAGGCCCCATCGTGAGCCCCCTGACGGGCCCCCTCAGCACCTTGCTGCCCGGTCCAGGGCCCGTGTCACAGAGCGGCCTGTTCTCCAGCATCCTGACCGGCCCCCTGACTCTGAGCAGCCCCCTGGCCAGGCCCCTGGCAGTGGCCCCAGGAGGCACACTGGGCAGCTCCATGGGCACGGTCTCCACCGGCCCTCTGATTCCGAGCAGCACCCTGGCCGGCCTCATGGCAGTGTCCCCAAGAGGCACACTGGGAAGCTCCATGGGCCTGCCCTCCACCGGCCCCCTGACCCCGAGCAGCCCCCTGATGGCACCTACGACAGGCACAGTGGCCATCTCTCTGAGCAGCCCTCTGCTCACCTCCACAGCTGCCCCTCTAGGTGTTTCTCAGAACCTTGTGGCCAACCCCGTGAGCAATCTGGTGCTGCCGGAGGCCCAGAGGGTGCGGCTGACAGAGCCGTTCCGAGGATGCCCATCTGGACCCCATCCCTCCGCTGGAGCAGGGCCTGCTGGCACCACCAAAGGTACCCGGTGCAGGGGGAGGGACAGGAGGGCACCCCCCAGCCCCCGCCAGGCCGGTCCTGGGTCCTGACTTGCTCTGACCCTCCTTCTCTCCTCTCTGCCCCACAGCGTCACTAGTCCCAATGTCCACTGAGCACCCACAGCCGACCCAGGACCTGGAGCCTCTCGGCGTGACATTTGTGGGCGTGCCCTTGCACACCTCTACCCCCATGGAGACCAAGGGCGCAGCTGGCCCCGGGATGGCCTTCTCCTTCAGCACCTCGGACGCCCGGGCCCGGCCCGGTGCCCCCCAGGGACAAGCAGTTCCTGCCCCTGCCCCCGTCGCCCCTGCTGCTGCCCCCCAAGCTACCACCGACTACGCCTCCCCCGGCACCACCCACGTTGCCCAGTGCCCACCCCCGTCCCCCACCCGGGCACACCACCCCCCCACCCAGCCCTCATCCACCCCGCACTCCCCTCCTCGAAATCCCCATTCCCCACCTCGAACCTCGTCCTCCCCGGCTTCAGTCCACGACCCCCGGGGTCCACGCGGCACAGAAACATCTCAGAAAAGCATGGTGGAGTTGGAACGGAAGCTAGCCCACAGGAAGATCAGCAAGTTTCCGGACAGCCCCCGAGGTCTGTGACACAAGTGCAGCAACACCAGTTGGGCGGGGTCTCCCCCGCTGCCCCTGTGGCCCTCCCTGGCCCCGGCCTGGGCCGAGGACCATTCCCTCTACCCCCTGTTGTCCTCAGAGTCGAGGCAGCTGGCCTGGGAGCGGCTGGTGGGGGAGATCGCCTTCCAGCTGGACCGCAGGATCCTGTCCAGTATCTTCCCCGAGCGCGTGCGCCTGTACGGCTTCACCGTCTCCAACATCCCAGAGAAGATCATCCAGGTGCCCGGTGCCCGGTTCCCCCTCACCACCAGAGGCCCTGTCCCTGTCACCCGTTAGGGTGGGGGGGGGGGGGTGTGGACCTTGGAGGAGCCGCCGGGGGGGCCCTGCGCGCCAGCCTGGCCAAGCCCATCAGAGTCCGCGGGCACCCTGTGGTGGAGGAGGCATGGTGTTCAGCCCCAGTGGCCGAAAGGCATCCAGGGCGCCTGGCAGCAGGAGCCTGTGGGCCTAGCCACGTGGCCTCCCCAGGGGACAGTGCAGGGCAGGGTCCTGAGCACGGTCACGTCTGCACTGCCCCCCTTTGCCACTGCAGTGGCTTCCAGATGGCCAGCCCTCATTCCCAGGGGCCCTTCCCCCACTAACAGAGCTGATGCCTACCCCCCCCCCCCCCTCCCCCCCGCTGCTGGTGCCCTCTAGGGTCACTGAGGTGGCACAGGGTAGACAGGTCCCAGAACCTCTGAGCGGCTGGTGGCCTCATGACCAGGGACCTCAGGCCCAGGCTCATTCCAGTACATTCTTAGCACGCCATCCACTGAGCCTGCTTCCTGTGAGGGACACGGCACACAGGGCTTCTCTGGGCACGCCTACCTTGCCACCAAGTGCGGGAAGCTTGGTGTTCAGCCCCAGTGGCCGAAAGGCGTCCAGGGCACTGGGAGCCTTGGAAGACACTGGGAGGGGAGCCGTCACGGGGTGTGGGCTGTGCCTGGCTGGATGCCCAGAGGAGGCTGTCCAGAACGATCGATGATCGCCTGTGCCTCCTCTCCCACCAGCGCACCAACTCTGGCTGGGCCCCCACGCCGGGGGACGGGAGAGGCGAGCTTTTGGGGCTTTCCTTGGGAAACAGGCCTCTGTTCCTGGCCACTTTCTCTCCAGCGTTTTTATCTGTAGACTATAGACCTGGTGTGTGATCGGCAGGAATAGCTCAGGGCTACCGTGGGCTCATCTGAGTCCCGGTTTGAGCTCGCCTTTTCCTTTGGTGTGTGTGTCCTTTGGTTCGGTTTTTAATTTTAATGTGGTCAGAATGATCTACCTTTCCCTTTGTTTGTACTTTTCACGACTCCCTTAAAGCTAGAGCGGTAGAGGGCTGGGCCCAGCCCTGAATCCATCCCGCTTCCCCCCCAGCCCCCACCCAGCCCCATGTGTGTGGGCTCTCCAACTGCCGCTCTGACTGTCCCCAGCCCATGCTGTCCTCCTTGGTGCAGTGACAGAGCCCGGCACCTCTCTTCTTCCAGGTTGTTTCAGCTCCTCTGGGCCTCTCGCTCAGTGTGAATTTTAGGAGCACCCGTCAAGCTCCAGGAAAAACCTCATTCAAGTATTTGGTTCTGCATCACTTCCCAGATTGAACAGGGGGACGTTTCACATCTTTACGGTGTCGGTTGTTCTGATACCCCTGCCATTTCTGCTGCCCATGTCAGTGGGGCCCACCGTGGTCACGTTTGGTCGGAGGGTCCTTGATGCACAGCCAGGACCCCCGCCGCCAAGGCTGGGTCTCAAGTGCAGACTGGCCATGGCTAGTTAGAAACTGGCAAACAACACGGGCGTAAGCACAATATTTACGTCTCTACAGTGTTGCAGCTGATATCCAGTTGGCGAAGATGACATTGGATTACAATGTCTGGTTTAAAGTGTGGTAGAGCTTTCCCACTGTTTGAAACCTACCTTTAGACGGAAGGTGATAAAGACGTATCACCGTTGACACGGGACTCTGCCCTGAGTCCGCTGTGCGAGCCCTCTGGTCCCCGGCCCCTCTCCACTTAGCGGGAGCCGGCAGTTCTGCCCAGGACTCCACAGTCACAGCACCAGCCGGTAACTCCTAGAGGAGAGGCAGGAAGATGAGGGCGGGATGTACCGAAGGCACTTTTCTCCGGCATCTGAGGAAGTCAAGGAACTCGGTGCCCCCTGGGCCAGTGCTTGTGGGGGAGGGGCTGTGGCTGGCACCACTCATTCCGTCCCCAGTCCCGGAGCCATTGGCCCCATTCACCTTCCATCAGCAATGACCAGTGCTGCCAGGGTCCTACTCTTGTGCCCAAGCTCCCGAGAAGCGCCCTGCCGAGCCCACCCGCACAGACGTTGTCTTAGGGGTCTGACACCCCCCCAGCTGGCCTGCCGCAGGGTGACCCTGTCTGGTTCCACCCGAGGAGCACGAACGCTCTCAAGGCCATCCATCCTGCCTGCTGGCCTGGCCCATTTGTTGATTCCTATCAGGATCCAATTCCACTTTGCCTAGACTTTTACTTCCTTTCCTGAAAACATCTTGTTTTTCTGTGCGTTGAACTCCAGTGTTGGTCGTTGTTAGAATCCCTAAATTCTATCCAGACCCACCACCCCTGGTCAAACCTGGTGTCCGAACCTGGCTCGTTTGCTTCACGAATGCTGGATAGTTTGACGACTGACAAGTTTCAATAGAGCCCCGTTGCCGAATGAGGACTTGTTGACTGTTTTCAATGAATCTGGTCATCTTTTTTTGTAAGTTCACAGTCAGCTGTGCCATCTTTTAAACTCAACTAAAAGTTGTGCCGGTGCCCAGACCTGTCACCTCTTCTCCCCAGCTGCAAACATCTTCTGCTCCAGGTGGGGGTGGGGTGCTCTAAGTACCTTCCTTTCAGCTTGCAATCACAGCAGACCTGAGCCCAGCACCCGTGTGAGGGTCACGGAGGCACCTCATGGCTGTGTCCAGCTGGGTCCTGGGCCCCCTAGTGCTCTCTGGAGCCCCATGCACTGGCCTGCTGACAACAGTTGTGGTGTTTGCATAATGGTTTGTTTCCAGCTACCATGCCAAACTCTTGTTCTGGTTCTAATAGCCTGTATATCATCTTGGCTTTTCTTTGTAGACGGTCATATTGTACAGTGTTTACAAGAAGCAGATAATACAGCAACCTCATCCTGTTTCTGGCTTGACTGCACACACACACGTCAAGTCTGTCCATTAAGTACAATGTGTGTCCAGGCTTTTTGCCAAATCTTCTTCAGTCACAGTTCTTGGTTGCAGATAACATAATCAACACTAGCTGATGTAAACAGAAAGAGGTTTATTATACATGTTTAGGTGAGGACACAAAACTGGGCACAGAAGTTGGTATGGCTGCCCCTGAAGAACCAGGGTCATAGCCACTGCACTCTCGGGGACCCCTGCTCCCCCTGGGCACCACTGTCTCCCGGCATCCACATCCGCCTGCAAGTTCCACTCACGGGCCCTGCTGGGCAGAAGCCCAGGTCGCAGAGGTCCCTAAGCCACAAGGCGAGTCTGGAAAAGGCTTTCAGCTTCAGAAAAGCACCAGAAGCACTAGAACGGAAGCCTGATGAGGCAGCTTCAGCCCCTGCCACATCAGGTTAAGTTTTTCCTCTTCCTCATTCATTGACACCTTTGGGGGGGTTTCTTAATCATGAATACTTTTATGAATGTATTTTCTGCCTTTCATTGAAAAGATCACACGAGTTTTCCCTCCCTCCCTTTTAACATTTCGGAAGGACACATGAGAAGGTATTCTGATCATAAACCGCACTGTGTCCTGGTGTTTTTGTTTTTGAGAGAGGGGGAGAAAGAGGGCGCGCGATCAGGTGTGGGAGGGGCAGCGGGGGGGGGGGGGAGACACAGAATCCAAAACAGGATCCAGGCTCTGAGCTAACGTGGGGCTTGAACTCATGAGCCGTGAGATCATGACCTGAGCCGAAGTCCCACGCTTAACCAGCTGAGCCCCCCAGGCGCCCCACCCTCGTGTTTTTAACGCCTCCAGATGCCGTTTGCGGTTATTTACGACTTCTGCAGCTTCGCTACTTATCTCGCGAACACACCGAGCTGCCGTGACAGAAAGAAGGGGCGTCAGGAAGCCGCGTGTCCCTCTCCCCGTGGGGCCGCGGCCGCTGCCCACCCCCTGGCGCGCGTCTGGGCCGCGGGTCCCGGACTCCGCCCAGGGGGCGGGGCTGACGGTCCCAGTCTCACCCCATTGGCCCGGTCTCGGTGACGTCAGGCCTTGCTGCCGTCGCGGACGCGGGGTCGCAGGTGGGAGTTTACCTCCGCAGGGGAAGGCGGGGCTTCGGTGCGCTCGCGGGGTTTTCTTGCTGATCCCCTGTTGATCCTTAGGATTCTGTTTCCTCGGCTCAGCTCTTTCTTTCCTTCTGCTTCCTTTTGGTTTGCTTTATTCCTCCTTCTTGGGCTGAGCACTTAAGTCATTTTATTTTACACAGCCTGTGTTTGGAAATACGTGTGGGGCAAGGCAGTTCGCTCTATATTTAACCAGTGGTGCAGCAGGTGGACCCGCCCGGCCCGGCGGCCTCCCACCCACGGGCGGGGGCTTCTCAGGTGTAAGGATTTCACAAACTGCTTTGGATTCTCTAACCCAAGAGTCAGGATGCACGCTCCAGTCTCCGCCCTCTGAGGGACGTGCGGCCGCCTCTTGAGCGTTGCTTTCTAACGGGAACAAGGGCTGAACCTTTGCCGCCGTTTCCCTTAGCACTGAACACGTGTTCGGCGTCGTTTCCAGAATGGAAAGACTGGGTGGTGAACACATGTGCTCAGTTTCTTGCAGGTGCGTGCGTATTTGGTAGCACCTGTTCTCTCCTCCACATCTGGTCCAGCACCAGGTCCTCTGCTGAGTCTCCCTCTAAAGATGTTTCCCCATGTATACGCCTGCGTCTACATCCACCTAGGCCCTGGACTAAACTGCTAGCACCTTACTATCCTTCCCCTCCATCTCTTCACTCCTATTATGGAGCATTCAGTGCATACCAAGTTTATATCAGACGGTCTCTGCGCTCCAGGAGCTCGCCCACTCCTGGGGAGGCCTTCAATAAATAAGAAAAGCCATAAATATGTATGCTACAGGTCCAGGGGGTGACACATGCTACGGGGGGCAGGAGAGTTGAGGCTGGGAGCTAGGCACTGAGATGGCTTTGCTGCCTCCTCCCCGCCTGTATATACCCTGGCCTCATCCTGGCCAACTATGTCACCCCTCCTCCATTCCTTTGAAACACAATTCTGCTCAACGTGAGAGCCCACTGATGTGTCCCCTGGAGCCGGGACCGCCTCAAGGGGGTGCACACCGGTACAGATGCTGTGCTCAGCACCCCCTAGAGACATTTCCTTTACTCTTCAAAGCAGCTGTCAGGTGGTTTTGCTTTCCTCCGTGTCAGAGCAGGGGAGGCTCAGACCCAGTGTGGGGACAGAAGCGGTCCCTGAACCCGGCCCTCCCTGTGGGCCCCTCTCCTTGCTCTGTGCTCTGCCTCCTGGTACCTTCCAAGCCACGCATGCTGTTCCTTGTCCTGGAAGTTTCTTTCCTCCTGAGATCCTCGTCCCTCAGACCTCAGACCTCAGCCCAGCACCCTCTCCCCTCCAGAGTCCCCTCCCCGCGGCAACATTCACAGTAGCGTCCCTCTCCTTGGCGCGGTCATCACCATAAACTCAGAGGGCTTTGCTCACACTTGAATCCCATCACCTGGTATGGTGCCCTGCACAGGGGAGGGCTGCGAATTATCTGCAGAACAGAGCCTTCCCCCTCTCTTGCTTCGGTGCCCGCTGCTCCCTTGCTTCTGTGGAGTGCTTGTCCTGCTTGTCCCCCCTCACTTGCCTCACCTGTGCTCCTCTCTCTCAAGAGGTCACCTCCTCGGGGCAGCCGCAGCCTTGCGTCTCAGTGTAAGTGTGCCCACACTGCTCTTCCCCATCCAGTACCCTGGCAGGGTGGGCGCAGGGTGCCCACCCCTGACTTCTGCTCCTGTCTGGAGCTCCACGCATCGCGTCTGGCACACAGCAGGAGCTCAGCCACAGCCCCGGAGTGAGCATATAATGGGTTCTGATGTCCTCGGGGGCTGGGGCTTAAAGCTACCCACTCACTGTGCTCTGCGCCGTCCAGCGGCCCCACTTGTCACCCACAGATGGTGGCTGAACTCCTGCAGCCTGCCTGACGGCACAGGAGCAGGTGAAAGGAGGGAGAAGGCTCAGGGGCCGGGAGGAGCCTAGAGGCAGGGAGATGAGCTTACTCCAGTGACCGTGCAGCGGGGGTGCTGAGCACAGGGCTCCAGGTACGTCTGCCAGCGGTCAGGCGTCACTTTGGCTGAGCCGAGCCAGGAGTCCAGTGCTCTATTCACAAGACCACCTGGGGAGGAAAGGACAGGGGACATTCTCGGAGAAAGTGACGCCTCAGCAGCCAGCTCGTTCCAGCAGGTTAGGAACCAGCAGGTGGGCATCCAGGAATGGTTGGAAGGGGATGAGCAGGGCCAGAGTGGGGACCTTGGGGCCAGAGTGCTGGCCCCAAGAGGTGGGACGTGTAGGAGGGCCTCAGGCAAGAGACCCCATCTACTTCAGACCTGACATTCCGTGGGCCTGGGGGCAGCTAGCTGCACGTGTGACAGAGACGTAATGTGCAGGACTCGGTGAAAATGAAAATACAGGGCTCTCTGTTCAAAACCTATAAAGAACTTCAAGATGGCTACAGCAGGACATTAAGCTGAGTGTGGGCCCTTCTGAGCCGGGGCCCTGAGTGAATGTCCAGGTCACATGCCCGAGAGGCAACGGCAGGAGTGGGGAGGAGGGGCCGCTCTCCTGGCGAGATGCCTCGGAATGCAGTCACTGCCCGGTTGGAAGGCACAGGCAGTAAAGAAGCGGGTGGAGACCCACCGGGTTGCTGCCAGTCCCCAGACCTCTCTCCCAGGGCCTCCAGGACACCTCCCTCCAGCACATGGCCACAGCCACACCCCTCAGCCGCACCTGCCCCTCTCTTGCCTTTGCGGCGGTGGGAGCAGGAGGGGCCCTGACGGCCGCTCTCCCCTCAGGCCTCCCTGAACCCCAGCGACCACAAGCTGGATGAAGAGCTGTGCCAGACACTCACGCAGCGCTACGTAAGCATCATGAACCGGCTGCAGAGCCTGGGCTACGACGGGCGGGTGCACCCGGCGCTCACCGAGCAGCTGGTGAACGCCTACGGGATCCTGCGTGAGAGGCCAGAGCTGGCCGCATCCGAGGGCGGCTCCTACACCGTGGACTTCCTGCAGCGCGTGCTGGTGGAGACCGTGCACCCCAGCATGCTCACCGACGCCCTGCTGCTGCTCTCCTGCCTCAGCCAGCTGGCGCATGACGATGGCAAGCCTATGTTCATCTGGTGATGCCGGCTCCTGCCAGCCAGGCCCGCTCTGCCCCGCTCCTCGGTGCCAGGCCATTAAAGCTTCCCACACACGCTAGCCGCTGGGCCCCGGGCCAGAACTCCTGGGGGTGCTGCCTCCACCGGGGTGGCCCACCAGCACCTCCTCCCCCCGCACCCCTTCAATCCTGCTTGCCCTGGGGCTCCAGGCCCACCCCGGGGTCCTTGGAGAGAGCCCCAAGACCAAAGCTTGGCAGCTGTCCGCTGAGGGGGGTGGCGTTCAAAGGTCCCCAGCTGCCACCGGCCTGCGGGTGAGAGCAGCAGGAGCCCCTGAGACTCGGAGGGGGAAGAGCAGGAAGCAAGGAGGAGCCGACCTGGCAGGGAAGGGCCGTGGCCGTGCCAGCAGCATTAGCGCTGTACAGAGAGCTAAAGCCTGGGTGCAGAGTGGAAGGCAGAAGACAAGGATGTGGACGTGGGAACCCTTCCCTCTGTCCTAGGCCAGGAAGAGGGCGGCGGGAGAGGGGGCAGGGAGGGCTCCTGGACCCTCACTGAGGGCAAGAGGACATTAGATGGACGGGACCCCGGAGAAAGTAGACTCACCCAAATCCTAGCGAGGGGCAGCCCAGGGAGATGTTGGCCGATTCCTAAGGCTCCACAGGGTTCCGAGCCTCAGAGCTGGAGCCGGCAGAACCCACCTGCTGCAGGGGCAGGGGCAGAGCGCAGGCAGAATGGGAAAGCCCAAGGGAGCAGCAGAGGGCAGGGGGCGTGTAAAATGGGACTCCACCAGGGGTAACCTGCAGACGAAGGGGAGGGGCCTGTGGATAGTGCAGGAAACTGAGGACTGGAGGCCAAGATGGGGGTCCTTGCCAGGGTGTGCATGCGAGATGGGCAGTGGGGTAAAGCCCACAGAGTGGCCTCTGGCCCACGAGAGGTAAAGGAGAGGACCTGCCCGAGGAAGGGAAGGAGGCTGGAGCTGCGATAGGAGGCAAAGGGCGGGCTGAGGAGGTGGGAGTGAGGACCCCAGGCGAGGAGGCTCCTGGAACACCGGTGCTTGCCGGCCAGAGCGCTCTGAGGGAACAGAAGAGTCCCAAGGTTCAACCAGAGGCATCATATCAGCAACCAGCAAGGAAGGCAGGGAGGGAGAGGGTTGTGGGGTGTGCTAGGGCCTCCTGGCGCGGGAGCTCCCTGCCCTCTCCACTCCCAGGCCTGCTACTTCAGGGGATCCAGCCAGACCCCCGCGGAAAGGCAGGGAAGGACTCCACATAGAGAAGTGTGACATCTAGAGACGGAAATCTCCTAGCTGTCTGCCGACAAGGCCTAGCAGCAAGACACAACTGTCGCGGTGAACACGCCCAGCACCAGATCTTGGTTTCTAAAGGGGATCAGGGATTCCTGGAGAATTGGGGGTGGGGGTGGGGGGCAGAAGTCCCTCCTCCTCCCTGGCAGCAGTCGTGAATGGCTGCCCAGATCCAAACTCCTGGGCAATTTAAGACCCAACCAGGAGAGCGGTGGGCTGTGGTTCACGGCTCAAATGATTCAGATGCGGGCCCAAGCAGGGCCCGGCAGCACCTGACAGAGAGCGGGGCAGCAGGGTCCTGGGAACCAAGGAAGCAGGTACAAGAGGGCCCCCGGATGGGGAGCTGATTTCCATGTGGCTCACGCGTCCTGAGGTTGCGGCGCAAGTCCGCACCAACGGCCCCTCACCTCCCGATTGGAAGCTCCTCGGGGTAGGGTCACGGAGCGGTCTGTCACCACCGGGGACAGGCCTCTTAGGGCAGCTCTGCGGGGCTCTGACTGGGTGGCAGATTAGGGCGTTCTGAGTCCGTCCCTCCTCTGGAGCTGTGTCTTTGAACTCACTTGCGGGACACCTGAACCCCGGGAGACGGGTGGGGCTGCGGTAGACCCCGAAGTCAGGGCCGCTGGAGGGCGCCGGCAATTCCGCGCGGACTTGCGGGCCGGCGGAGGGAGCTGGACGCAGCACGCACCGCACTGCCTCCACCGGCGCTGCGCCCGCCTGCACTAAAGAGGGTCGCTCTCCACTTGCTGTAGGCTGCACCCCAATCCCCGCTCGCGTCGGGCAGGTCTGGGGGCTCTCCCGGTGGCGTACAGGGGAGGGCGGGGCAGAGTGGGGCGAGGAGTATCTGGGGGCGGGGCTGCGAAACCAGGGTCTCTTTCGCTTTCCCTTTTGTTCCCTCCAACGGCCGCCCAGACTCCGCGCGGGAGAGGAGAGCGCGGCTTCCCGGCGCGCCGGTTGCCGCCTGCGCCCGCGCCCCAGCGATCCCGGGGCACAGCACCTACGCCGTTCCGCGCACCGGTGGCGCCACGTAACCTTGACCCCCGTGACACCCCCGCAGCTCCCGCGGACGCACGCCGGCAGCGACTGGGTCGCAGGGGCGCCGCGAGGCGGAGGAGCCCCGCACATCATGCAGACCCTCCCGGACTGGCCCCCAGCGTCCGGGGCCCCACGGCCCTCTCCCTTCCCGCACCCGGGACTGCACGCCCTCCACCGCCTGGCTCGAGCCCTGCTCTTCCCGGCTTACTGGGCCCTGGACCGGCTGCTGGGCTGCTGCGCGCCGAGCGCGCGCCCGAGCGGCCTGCGGCGGCTGAAAGCCGCTGCCGGCGCTGGGGCCGCGCTGCTGCTGCTGCTGCTGGTCGGCCTGCCCCTGGCCCTGCTCGGGCTGCCGCTCTGGCTGCTCCTGCAGACCTGGCGCCGCCCCTTCTGCTACCAGCCCCCGCCGCAGTGCTGGGAGCCCCCAGCGCCCTGGCGCCCCCCCGCCGAGCCCGCGCGCTGCTTCAGCTTCCTCAGCGCCAACCTGTGCCTGCTCCCCGACGGGCTGGCGCGCTTCAGCAACTTGAAGCACAGCCAGCGGCGGGCCGAGGCTGTGGGCGCCGCGCTGCTCGCCGGCCTGCGGCCCTCGCGCTATGGGGCCACTGGCAGCAGTCCGCCGGGGCCGGGGGCGCCCTGCGGAGTGCTGACAGCCGAGGTGCCGGCAGGTCTGGAATTTGTGTGCCTGCAGGAGGTGTTCGACCTGCGCTCGGCGCACCGCCTCGTGAGCCGCCTAGCGCCCAGTCTGGGCCCGGTGCTGCACGACGTGGGCTCGTGTGGCCTGCAGCCCGGGCCGCACCTCAAGCTGCTCGGCAGCGGGCTGCTGCTGGCCTCGCGCTACCCGCTGCTGCGCGCCGCCTTCCGGTCCTTCCCCCACGCACGTCGCGAGGACGCGCTGGCCTCCAAGGGACTGCTTTCCGCACAGGTACCTGCCCAACCGCCGCGGCGCCTCCTGGCGGGGAGAGGGCTGGCGTGGGCTCGAAATGGCGACGGTTGCTGGGGCCCTCCGTGGTGTTGCAGGCGCAGGTGGGCATCCTGGACGGGCGCCGCGTCGTGGGCTTCCTGCACTGCACGCACTTGCATGCGCCGAGTGGTGAGCCCGAGGACGGGATCGTCGGCGCGTGGGCAGGCCGTCTGGCCTCTCCGCGCCCCCGACCGTTGGTTCACTGCCCGGGGCACCGCGAGCCCCGGGGAGGGGGGGGGGGCGGGGAGCGCGGCCCCGCTGAGCCTTCCGTTCCCGCCCTCGCAGAGGACGGGCCCTTGCGCTGTAAACAGCTGACGCTCCTACTGGACTGGATCGAGCAGTTCGAAGCCGAGAGCCGCGAGAGTGGCGAGGCCGTGGCCTTCAGCGTGCTCCTGGGCGACCTAAACTTCGACAACTGCTCCTCAGGTGAGGGCAGGCTGCGGCGGGGCGGGGGCGGGGCGGCCTGGCCCCGCCCACCACGCGCTGATCTCGCCCGGCAGACCACGCGCAGGAGCAGGAGCACCAGCTCTTCGGCCACTTCCGGGACCCCTGCCGGCTGGGCACGCGCCGGGATCAGCCCTGGGCTCTGGGTACGGGGGCAACCGGGTGGGGAGCCGACCTGGGTGCGTGCGGTTCGAGGACCGCGGCTGCCGCTGACACCGCCCTCCGCCCGCCCTCCCCCAGGCACAATACTGAGCACCTCCACCCTCCGCCACTCGGTGGCCTGCTCCCCGGAGATGTTAAGGAGGTGAGTCGCGACCTGGGTGGGGGTCAGACGCCGCCCGGAACGCCGGGGAGTCCTGGCCTTGGTGACACCACCCCTCCTCAGGGCCCTGGAGCAGGAGGAAGGGCGCCGCCGCTACCTGGCGGGCCCTCTGGGCGGAGGCCGCCGGGCTGAGCCCTGGCGGGGCCGGCGCCTGGACTACATTATGTACCGGGGAGCGGTCGGAGGCCCGCTGAGCCCAGTAAGTGCCAGAATTCAGGGCGCTGGGCCGGCTGCAGCTAGGGCGACTCCTCAGTCTGACTCCCGCCCCCAGGAGGTGGAACAGGTGACGTTCAGCACCGCCCTGGCGGGGCTCACAGACCACCTGGCCGTGGGACTTCGCCTCCGAGTTTCCGTGCCCTCCTGACGCAGGCTCGCAGGCGACAGTTGGAAAGACGGACGCGGACGCAGAGCGTGAGCCTGGCCGGCTGCCGCGGGAACGCGGTGACTTCGCTGTTTATTGTGGGGGCCCTCCCTCACACCGCCTCCTGGGCTCTGCGGTACTCGTAGACGCTGCCGCGCTCGGAGAAGGCTGGGCGCTGCGGGGGCGACCCCGGCGGTGGGGCGGGGTCCTCCGGGTCCCCGTAGCCGCCCCCGCCTGGTGTGTGGAGGCAGAACACGTCCTGTGGAGCAGAGGGACAGGTTCACTGCGGGCGTGGACGCCCCCAACCCTGCCTCTCGCCGCTGTCCTATCCCCACCGGGGCAGCGCATTCGTGGCGGCCGGCCTGGCCCACGGAGGCCCACTGCGCGCCCTCTCCTTCGGAAACCAAATTAAATTCAGACGCTGGTTATTTTTGCAACTCTGCTCACCCTCTGTGGAAAGGGGGCCGCTGGAGGGCGGACGGGAGTGAGGAGGGACAGATGTCAATCCTTACCCCGGGGAACACGGGCACCGACGTCTTTCCGCCCAGATTCACCGTCCGGCCGTCCTTGCGAATCAGCAGGTTCAGGCCCCGGGCTCCGGGCTCACCCCCTGCGGGAAGAGGCAAAGTGAGGCTGGCCCGGAAGGCAAGGAAGGGAGGGGCAGAGGCGGCGGGCGGGCAGAG